TGTTGAAGAGGCTTTGTACATGCACTTGGGGCAGGACCTGACTTGATGGAGGTGCCTGGGAGAGATGCGATGGGGGCCTGGTGGCCTCAGAGTCCAGTGCCACTGGGAGTTCTGGACGCTAAGGGAGGCGGCAGCACAGCTGCGTTCTCAGGAATTGTGTAAGAGCCTTTGGTCGCAGAGCCGGCTATGTTTAAGGGTATTTTGTTAAAGTTTCTCTTTAAACCACAGTTATGAACGAGAGCTTTCATTTACAAGGCTTTCCTATGGGCCCACCCACATGGGTCACTGCACCTCCGTGGTGGCCAGGAGTGGTCAGTGAGTAGACATGGACTGAGGCTGGCACTGAGTTCAGCACATCTAGTCCCACAGCATTCCCCAAAGGCTGTCACGAAAGCTGCCAAGGTGATGGATAGTTTGAGTCCCTTGCAAATAAGACGTGGGCCCTTTGGTTGCCTTGTCACGTCCCCTCTCCATTGCGGATGGTGCAGCAGGGGACAAGTTCATAGTCTGCCTTCCTCTCTCCCAATGTTACTTCAGTTTATGTACATGAAGGCAAATGTATTCTCCGAATTGAGTAAATAGTCTGTTCTAAACACCAAATTCTGAAACTAGATAGTTGATGACCTTCAAAAGCCACAGGTGCAAGTCTTGATCGTTGTTGATTAAAGGGAGTCCACGGATAATAATCACAGGGGCGAGATCCATTGTTAACCGTGGAGGTGGATGCAACAGGAGGCTCTTACGGACAATAATAAATTCAAATTCCCCGCTTTCTTTACAAAGGAATTATTATTACTATCTCTTGGTGAACTGGAGTGTTGAATCACCATGCTTTAGGTCCGATTTTAGCCTTTTTAAATCGGCAACTTTTTGCCTTATATTATTACAACACCTTTTCTAAAGTGTTGGGCTTTTACTACTGTGCCACTCAAAGGCTGGCAGGATATTTTCCTGTTTTTCCAGTTAGAGAAATAGAGGAAGTCATCATGCAGTTGTCATGTGTTCAGTCCAGAGGGGTGGGGAAGTGTATGATGCTGAGCATGGAGGCTGACTCCTTGAACGAGGAGGGAAGAGAGGCACAGGTGAGCACTGCACCCCAGTACCCAGCTGCTCTCTCTTCTGACTCTGATTTCCCCAATGACCCTGCCAGGGCAGAATGTCTCCTCCCTGCTCCGGAGGAGTTTCATACTCCTCGGAATGTGGATTTGTGCTAACTTTCTATCTGGAAATAAAAAAGGTGGTGTCGTGTCCTCCCGAGTACACAATATC